TCCCTCCCTCCCTCCCTCCCTTCCTCCCTTCCTCCCTCCCTCCCTTCCTTTCTTTTGAAACAAGGTCTCATTATGTAGTCCTATCCAATGTTCTTCCTGCCTCAGTCTCCTGAGTTCTGGAATCTTAAGTGTTTACCACCCTGAACCTGGCTTCAGTGTTTCTTTTTTGTTTGTTTGTTTTTTCTTTTTAAAAAATCTTTATGTATGCAGTGTTCTGCCTGCATGCATGCTTGGACACCAGAAGAGGGCACCAGATCGAATTATAAATGGTTGTGAGCCACCACATGGATGCTGGGAATTGAACTCAGGACGTCTAGGAAGAGCAGCCAGTGCTCTTAAGCTCTGAGCCAACTCTCCAGCCCTCAGTGTTTTTTTTTTTTTTTTTTTTTTTAAAGATTTATTTATTATATATACACTATTCTGCCTGCAAGTCAGAAGAGGGCACCAGATTGAATTATAGATGGTTATGAGCCACCATGTGATTCCTGGGAATTGAACTCAGGACCTCTGGAAGAGCAATCAGTGCTCTTGACCTCTGAGCCATCTCTCCAGCCCCTCAGTATTTTGTTTTAATAGCTGGATTAGTTCAATATTTCCAGGCAAAGATACCAACTAATGGAGCAAATTACCAGCAGGTACATCCTTCCTCCTGCAGCATCACTGAAGTTGGGCAGTAATTTGTTTGAATTCAGGAAAATGTATAAACCCTAAAACTAAAGGAAGGTTTTATGGAAAGCTAAAAACCACCAAAATGTTAAAATTACAACTTGGATTCATTGTCATCAGTGTCTTTAGTACAAATTAAACCTGAGTGATAACTTGAGAAACAAAACAAAACCATCACAAAACCAATCTTACATCAAAAATTACTTTTTTTATTTATTTAGATTAATTTATCTTATTTTATGTGCCTGGTTTGCATGTACGTGTGTGCCTAGTGCTTCCAGAGGTCAGAAGAGGGCTTTGATTCTCTAGAAATGAAGCTGTAGATGTTTGTGAGTCTCCATGTAGATGCTGGAAGTTGATTGAACCTGAGTCCTCTGCAAGAAGTGTCAATGTTCTTAACTGTGGAGCCATCTTTCCAGGCCAGACTTCTGCTCTTCCCCTCTCTTCCTCTCTCTCTCTGATGTGTGTTTATATGTGTTCATGTGTGTGAATGCAGGTGCCTGCATGCCATGCATGGTGTGTCTGTGTGAAGATAACCTCATGCATCAGTCCTCATCTTGCACTTTTCTCTACATGGAGATTTTAAATGGTTCTCTGCTGTGCACGCCAGGCTAGCTGGCCCAGGTGCCTCTAGGGACTCCCCTTTCTTTGCCCCAACCCTGCCACAGGAGAGCTGGGACTTGACATGGGTATTGGGGATCTAAACTCAGGGTCTTGCACTGAGATCTGCTGTTTTGTAAAACTTAAGGTATTTTTAACTTTAAAATAAAAAGTGTCTGTTAAGATTTGTTGCGGGTTTGAATTTAAGGTAAAATATCCTTCATAAACATTGTTTGGGGACTGTAATTTTTGAAGACAGAAATAGACACTTATGTAAACACAAATACTGGAGTGAACTTGTAAATAGAATCACATCATTTAAATCTAATTCCTCAAGAATCATTAACAATTGTGAACACTTTCAAGGGAAATGGATTTTCAACTCATTGCTCTTTTGAGGTTTTATTATAATTATGAATACACATTTTAAAAGTTGATAGGATTTACAGTGATATCTTCACACATACATACATTGTGCGTGGATCATTTCAGTTTTGAACTGGGACTAAGTTCATGTCTAAAGGGAAGTAGCCAGAGCCTTTCATGTTATTCATACAATAAAACACTAGATGGTGCTGTTTCTTGAGGAATTAACAAGAACTAGTATCTAAAGCCTATTTCAGAGGTCGGTTTATTGTTTTCAGAAGTGGGGAAAATACTACCTTTACTTTTTGTGCTTAGTGAAGTTTTAACTTCATGAATAAGCTTCCACAATTAAAATGACTATGGACCCAGGGAGTAAGTTAAGTAGGATGTTGAAAAGGTGGACCAGGTGGTGGTGGGGGGGTTCTTTGCTCCACAGGGGAGGAGCCAGTTCACAGGACAGACCGACTTTTGGGTTTTGTTGTTATGTTTAACTTGATTTTATAGAAGAGTTTTAGGTCTTCAGAATAAGTGTGACTGCAGAGATTTCTCATAAAACCTCTACACAGTTTCTTCTATTGTTAGATATGTGCCTGTAACCCCAGCTACTCAGGAAGCTGAGACAAGAGAGTGCTGAGTGAATGCTGGGCCAGCCAGGGTAATCTCATGTGACCCTATCTCAGGGCTGTAGTTCTGTAGTAGAGAACTTCTCTAGCCTACATGAGATGGCAGGTTCGATCCCCCTCCCCACAGACACACACGCACATACACACTCAGCTCAGTGGCAGAGCGCTAGCCTAGTAAGTGCTAAGCCCTGGATTCCATTCTCAGCACTGGACACAGAAACACACAACTCTTGAGTGCACAGCATGGATCAGTGTGGGCACTGTGATGGCTGTTCTTGGTTGTGGACTTGACTAAATCTGGAGTTAATTAAAGCTCAAGTGACTGGATATATTTAGGAGAGATTTCTTCCTTCCTTCCTTCCTTCCTTCCTTCCTTCCTTCCTTCCTTCCTTCCTTCCTTCCTTCCTTCCTTCCTT